TATCGGCGGCTGGCTTAATCAAGGATGTCTTGAGTGACTCCAAATTGGGATGAGGCTTTGAGCACGCCTTTTCCTCCAAGTGTTGCCATATCTTGTAATCTAACGGATTCAAATCTGGACTGGAGGAGGGCCAGTCTTCGTGCCGGATGAAGTCGATTTCACGCGCCGCCAGCCAGTCTTGTGTGCTCTTCGCTCTATGAGCTGGCGCCGAATCTTGTTGGAATACCCAGTGCCTGTCATTGAACATGGTATGAGAAGCAGGTTCCACAAGGTTCGTCAGGACTGTATTTTGATACACAACTGCATTCGTTTTTACACCTTTCTCACAAAAATGTACCTCTGTTAAGCCCCAATAAGAAACTCCCAACCATACCATGAGCGAGGATGGAAAATGACCTCGTTGGACACGCGGAATACGATTGCTCGCTTTTTCACTACTGTGTGCGTACACCTTATCATTTTGTTTGTTGTAGCTCTCTTCTACGGTAAAAATCTTTTCATCCGAAAAAAGAATTTCCCGATATTTTTTTCCCGCGTACTGCTTCAACAAAGCGCGGCATCTCTTCAGTCTCAGGTCCATTAGACGAGCATTCAAACGATGTCCTGTTTTTTTCGATATGCCCGAAGCCTTAAGTCTTCATTTAACACCCTTTTCACCGTGGTTTTGCTTAACCCCATCTGAAGGGCCAACAGTTTCTGCTTACGTTTGGGATTTCTTTGAATTCGCGCCTTCACAGCTTTTATCACTGCTGGAGTCCTAACAGACCGAGGGCGACCACTTCTTGACCTGTTATCTACACTAGAGTCTTCATTGTATCGTTTGATGGTACGATAAACGAATCTTTTGGTTATATTCAAATATATGCAATAACTGCAACACGGTCTTCTTTAAGCGTCCACTCCATATTTAAAAATGAGTAAAATTCTAAAAGTATACATTTTTATTTTCATGAACAATTCGAAATTCGAATTCAATAAACTTTTTTGTGGCCAGCATTCTAAAAGAAAAGTTTTTACTGTGTGACAATACTTATGACCTGACTAGGTATATTATCTTTAGCAGGCTTTGTAATTAAAACAGTTTAGTCTATTTTGAAAAGTGACTGATGTAAAAGCTACCATGAGTAATAACATAGTAGCATGGATAGCAGAAAAATGATTGAAGAGATACATTTCTCTAGATAATATATTGAACAGCTTTTCCACAGCTTTTTTGCCGCTTCCACAGCTTTGATGTGGTTCTAACAGCGGACTGTGATGTGTGAGACGGGTATTATTAAATTCTTTGTAAGTTAAGCTACTATTTTTTTTTATTGCTTAGATGAGTGGACGAGCTCACAGCCCACCTGGTGTTAAGTGGTTACTGGAGCCCATAGACATCTACGACGTAAATGCGCCACCCACCTTGAGATATAAGTTCTAAAGTCTCAGTATAGTTACAACTGCTACCCCACCCTTCGAACCGAAACGCATTACTGCTTCACGGCAGAAATAGGCGGGGTGGTGGTACGTACCCGTGCGGACTCACAAGAGGCCCTACCACCAGTAAAAAAAAATAATTCTATTTGACTATATAGAACAGGACAGTAGGCTCGTCTAGCTACAAGGACAATTAAAAAAGTCATCTTGCACCTGTGAACAAAGCATCGCTCCATCCTACTTGGTAATCCAAGCATTTAAACTTAGACGCCTTTCTAACATCCAAAGTATTCAGAAATAGGCGGGGTGGTGGTACCTACCCGTGCGGACCTACCACCAGTAGTCATAAGAGGTCCTACCACCAGTACTCAAAATATTTTCTACTGTATTAGCAGAAGGCCAACCCTTATTACAAGTGGTGTTGCTTCGAATACTAAACACATAATTTGTACGCGCCGAAGCGAAAGCGTGACACATATAAGATAAAGGGTGACACGTTTTCTGCTTTCAATTTATACCTACGTGACGAAAAAGTGTTTTGATTATTTTTAGTACTCTTTAAGTTATTTGTATATGCGCCCATGAATCGTGAGGTCGGTGACTTTAATTTTTTTTTTTGTTGCTTAGGTGGATGGACGAGCTCACAGCCCACCTGGTGTTAAATGGTTACCGGAGCCCATAGACATGCACAACGTAAATGCGCCACCCACCTTGAGATATAAGTTCTAAGATCTCAGTATAGTTACGACGGCAGCTCTACCCTTCAAGAAGAAACGCATTACTGCTTCACGGCAGAAATAGACAGGGCGGCGGTACCTACCCGCGCGGACTCACAAGAGGTCCTACCACCAATAAAAATTCGAAGCCTAAATAGGTTTACAGCAAGCTTTTCCCGCATCGTTGTATGCATTTTAAGTACTTTTAAAACTTAAAGAGTACTAACGTAACTAACGTAACGTAACGTAACGTAAGTACTAACGTAAGTTAGTAAGTTTAGGGTACATTGTCATCTTTATTCACTTAAGTTCCTTTCTATTCGGTTTCTTTTTATTTTATTGCTTAGATGTGTAGGCGAGTTCACGGCCCACATTATATTAAGAGATTATCGGAGCCCATAGACATCAACCACGTAATTGCCGCCACCCAACTCTGCCTGTTACTGATTCACGGCCGAAATTCGCAGAGTGGCGTACCTTTTTTTTTTATTGCCCTGGTAGGCAGACGAGCATACGTCCCATCTGATGGTGACTGGTTACCGTCGCCCATGGACTTCAGCAATGCCAGGGGCAGAGCCAAGCCGCTGCCTACCGCTTAATACTCTCCACAAGCCTCGTTTGGAGAAGGACATGTCATAGCGCTCGGGAAACACCGTGGAGGGGAGCTCATTCCATAGCCGGATGGTACGTGGCAAAAAAGACCTCTGGAAACGCACTGTGGATGACCGCAGTGGCTCCAGGTAGTACGGATGAACTCTACTCCGGTGGCGGGTGGTGCGATGGTAAAAACGAGATGCCGGTATCATCTCGAACAATTCCTCAGAGCACTCCTACCCGTGTGGACTTACAAAATACACTACTACAAGTATAAAGCTATATTTATTAGATTAGTATAGTTATCCGATATTTTGCGCATATTAATTGACATAATCATACTCGTTTTTATTTAAATGCTTAGGATTGCATATGTCGTTAGTCGTGACAAAGTGTAGGCTGCTGCTCATCTGGAGACACGAGGAAACAATTAGGATGGTGATTTCCACCAGTAAGGGCTTACATTATCAATATTGCAGCGCTTGGCTCTTGGCTGATGCATGACTTTCTTGGCTCTTACCATTAACAAATACACTGCTACCAGTTTGCAAACACACTTCATGATGTCTTAAAAATATAATAACAGAAAACAATCAGTGAAATGTCGCATTTTTATGAAGTAACAAGTTCTAAGAACGAAAGTAAAATATCTATAAACAATTCTTCTTTTTTTTCGCCACACAGCTAGTTTTTCTCTCCTCTCTCTCCTCTCTCTCTATATCGTCATTCACATCCACTCCATCCATGTCTTCTTCGGTCGACCTCTTCCCTCTCTACCTTGCACTACCATTTCCATACATCTCCTAGCCGTTTCTGAGATTCAGATTATATATAAAATATATTAATATACAAGAATTGCTCGTTTAAAGGTATAAGATTATTAAAATTATCGAGATGATGACTTCCTCCCACAGTATTGAGGGCGCTCGTTCGAATTGTATATAAAACAGGATGAACTGTTCCGAATGATTTATTTCGACGCGATGCATAATTCATGAGCTTCATTCACGGATTTTAGACAGACGCCGCTATGCTGACGATTGAGACCAATACGAGAGTTGAGAAATAACAGGGATATCCTTGAGGTGTTTTTCTCAGTTTTCGCGAGCCATAAATATAATTACAATTTACGGTATGATCTCGTATTGATAATTATTACTAGGTGACCCGACAAACGTTGTTTTGCCATATAATTTACTTCTTCTTCTTCTTTGACGCTTTCTTCATTGCTGAAGGTCGTGTCCCTGAAACTTGACCGTGGCCTGTCTCGTGAGCTGTTTTCATCTCGTCCGGTCCTCAGCTTCTAGAATGGCGGCTGCGAGTGGCAAAGTTAGAGCGGTTACTTGATCACACCAACGGCTAGGTAAATACCGACTGCAGCGCCATCTACGACGCCATAGCCGTCGGAGCTCCGTGGTTCATCAGGAACGTCGACCTCCACGACGACCTGGACTTAGAGTCCATCAGAGCGACACGACACGAGAACCCTCTCATCGTGGTCGCCGGTAAGTATATTCCCGATCCTGCGGAAAGAATGGAAAGCAGTCGACGTCGCCTCAAACACGTCATTTCGGGTCCTCCCGATCGACTAACGGTGCTTTTGGGTACCTCAAGCACCGGTCATCGTTCTCGTCGAAACCGTCGCTTGCGACGAAGGGCTCGACGAGTAAATTAACCCTCAGACACAGCCCACTTAGTTTCTCGCCGGATCTTCTCAGTGGGTTGCGTTTCCGATCCGGTGGTAGATTCTGCGAAGCACGGCTCTTGCTAGGGTTCGTGCTAGCAACGTCATCATGTTTGAGCCCCGTGAGCTCACCTACTAATTAAGGCGACGCTGATATAGCCTCTCAAGGCTATCAGCTTAGGTAGGGAAAAAAAAATTAACCATGCATCCGATTGACTTGAAATTTGGTATCCATGTAGAAAATACATGTACATGGATAGGCTAATATTTATATGAGTGTTGGACTCCCTACACCAGTTGCGGGGGCGTTAATGATGAGAATCTTTGTGGGGGTGAGAAATAATAGTAGTATATTTATGAAGATTATATGTTTCGGATGTTTCGAGTACTTTATTTACAGTTTTCGTGGTCAGGGTTGACTAAGGTGTTGTCTTATCGAAATTTGAATATTGTGGTAACTACCGTCTGTTTTCAGTTTAATAAAACGTTCCTATTCATTTCGAAATGGTACGTAGAAATCTAGAATTGTTATCTGCTGCTGCACGTGCGGGACTTCATATTGCTTTAGACAATTCAAATACCAGCTAATGATTCGGGGACGATGGCGGCCTGGCGGCCATAGCCATAAGAAGAGACGCGGCGATCCCCCCCTGGCGATGGTGACCAGGGGCCAAGGGTTCGTCGCGGTGCAGTTGGAAGGGACCGTCGTGATCGGGGCGTACTTCTCTCCGAACAGGCCTACTGTCGAGTTCGGGCATTTCCTGGGCGGGATCGGGGCGATTGCTCGCCGCCTCGCTCCCCGTCCAGTGATTCTCGCGGGGGATCTCAATGCGAAGTCTGTCGCATGGGGCTCCCCCCGCTCGGACGCTCGTGGTAGGCTACTGGAGAGGTGGGCGAACGCGGCCGGCCTCTGTTTGTTGAATAGAGGTTCGGTTGCGACGTGCGTGCGGTGGCAGGGCGAGTCTATTGTGGACGTTACGTTCGCAAGCCCGGCCATCGCACGCCGTATCCGCGACTGGAGAGTTTTGGAGGGGGCGGAGACACTGTCAGATCACCGATATATTCGGTTTGATCTCTCCGCCCGCTCCGCAGTCGCGGACGTCCACGGGGACCACCCCCGTGGTGCGTCCCGGTCATTCCCCAAGTGGGCACTGAAGCGCCTGAATAAGGAGCTCCTGATGGAAGCCTCTACGGTGGCGGCGTGGGCGCCCATGCGTCCACACCCGGTCGAGGTCGAGGGAGAGGCAGGGTGGTTCCGGGACACGATGCGTCGCATCTGTGATGCGTCGATGCCCCGGATCGGCCCTCGACTTCCTAATCGCCAGGCGTACTGGTGGTCGCCCGAAATTGCGCAACTCCGCGTGGAGTGCGTTCGGGCGAGGCGCGAGTGCGCCAGGCATCGCCGCCGCCGCCTGCCGCGGCGCAACGATCCGATTGCGTTCGCGGCAGCAGAGGCCCGGCTGCACGGCGCATTTCGCGTCGCGCAGAGGGCATTGCAGCTGGCCATCAGAAGAGCCAAGAACCAACACATGGAGGGTCTCTTGGAGACGCTGGATGAGGATCCGTGGGGGCGGCCCTATCATATGGTGCGCAATAAAATGCGCCCATGGGCCCCCCCGATCACGGAGCGTCTCCAGCCTCAGCAGCTGCGGGACATCGTCTCGGTGCTTTTCCCGCAGGAGCGGGAGGGATTTGTCGCTCCCGCTATGGACGCGCCGCCGGACTACGACGGCGAAGTCCCTGCTGAGGTGCCCCATATAACGGGGGCGGAGCTCCGTGTGGCCGTTCGCAAAATGTGCGCGAAGGACACTGCACCCGGCCCGGATGGCGTCCATGGCCGGGTTTGGGCCTTGGCTCTTGGTGCCCTAGGGGACCGACTCTTGAGACTTTACAACTCCTGCCTCGAGTCGGGACGGTTTCCTTCATCGTGGAGGACGGGCAGACTCGTGCTGTTGAGAAAGGAGGGGCGCCCGGCGGATACTGCCGCCGGGTACCGTCCCATCGTGTTGCTGGATGAGGTGGGCAAGCTGCTGGAACGCATTCTGGCAGCCCGCATCATCCAGCATCTGGTCGGGGTGGGACCCGATCTGTCGGCGGAGCAGTATGGCTTCCGAGAGGGCCGCTCAACGGTAGACGCGATCCTTCGCGTGCGGGCCCTCTCGGAGGAGGCCGTCTCCAGGGGTGGGGTGGCTTTGGCGGTGTCGCTCGATATCGCCAATGCGTTTAACACCCTGCCCTGGTCCGTGATAGGGGGGGCGCTGGAACGACACAGAGTGCCCCCCTACCTTCGCCGGCTGGTGGGTTCCTACTTAGAGGACAGATCGGTCACGTGTACCGGACATGGTGGGATCCTGCACCGGTTCCCGGTCGTGCGCGGTGTTCCACAGGGGTCGGTGCTCGGCCCCCTTTTGTGGAATATCGGGTATGACTGGGTGCTGAGAGGTGCCCTCCTCCCGGGCCTGAGCGTAATCTGTTACGCAGACGACACGTTGGTCGTGGCCCGGGGGGGGAGTTTTGCTGAGTCTGCCCGTCTTGCTACCGCTGGGGTGGCGCATGTCGTCGGCAAAATCAGGAGATTGGGCCTCGACGTGGCGCTCAGTAAATCCGAGGCCATGTGGTTCCACAGGCCCCGGAGAGTGCCACCTGTCGATGCCCATATCGTGGTTGGAGGCGTCCGTATCGGGGTCGGGGTGCAGTTGAAGTACCTCGGCCTCATTCTGGACAGTCGTTGGACCTTCCGTGCTCACTTTCAGAACCTGGTCCCTCGTTTGTTGGGGGTGGCCGGCGCGCTAAGCCGGCTTCTGCCCAACGTCGGGGGGCCTGACCAGGTGACGCGCCGTCTCTATACGGGGGTGGTGCGATCAATGGCCCTATACGGGGCGCCCGTGTGGGGCCAGTCCCTGGCCGTGGGGGTGGCGAAGCTGCTGCAACGGCCGCAACGCACCATCGCGGTCAGGGTCATCCGTGGTTATCGCACCATCTCCTTTGAGGCGGCGTGTGTACTGGCTGGGACGCCGCCTTGGGTTCTGGAAGCGGAGGCGCTCGCCGCTGACTATAGGTGGCGGGCTGAACTTCGTGCCCGGGGCGTGGCGCGTCCCAGCCCCAGTGTGGTCAGAGCACGGAGGGCCCAATCTCGGCGGTCCGTGCTGGAGTCATGGTCCAGACGGCTGGCTGATCCTTCGGCTGGTCGTAGGACCGTCGAGGCGATTCGCCCGGTCCTTGTGGATTGGGTGAATCGTGACAGAGGACGCCTCACTTTCCGGCTCACGCAGGTGCTCACTGGGCATGGTTGTTTCGGTGAGTTCCTGCACCGGATCACAGCCGAGCCGACGGCAGAGTGCCACCATTGTGGTTGCGACTTGGACACGGCAGAGCATACGCTCGTCGCCTGCCCCGCATGGGAGGGGTGGCGCCGTGTCCTCGTCGCAAAAATAGGAACCGACTTGTCGTTGCCGAGTGTTGTGGCATCGATGCTCGGCGACGACGAGTCGTGGAAGGCGATGCTCGACTTCTGCGAGTGCACCATCTCGCAGAAGGAGGCGGCGGGGCGCGTGAGAGACGCACAATCCCGCCGCCGTCGAGCGGGGGCCAGGGAGGCGGATCTCGCCCAAGCCCTGGCCCTCTAAGTGTTTCGGGTCCCCCTCACATGTCGGTCTGGGGACCGGCGAGGGGGGCCTAAGAAGACGACGTGCAAGCTGCTCTGTACGCGTTTTACGCAAGAGCATCCGGGTGATGGAAGGCCGGCTATCCTCGACCCACGCTGGTTCTGGCCCAGCGGGGTATTCCGTAGGGTAACCCACTCTAACCGGCGCCATCTAGGCGGGCTTCGGACGGTCTGCCGACCGAGAGGGCTGGTGGTCGTGGCGCCGACGACCGCCAGTCCGGCGTCCCGAGGGGGAGGGTGATGGGAGAGATGTGCTCCGCACTAAACGCTTCACTTTCCCCCCTTTGCCTTGTCATGAGTTCTGTCTCATGCGAGGTTTGGACGTTGGTTGTTGAGCGGCAGGAGGTTTTAGTCAGTTCGACTCTGACATACCCCGCCCAGTATCCCCAGAAAAGGGCGGAAGTCCGGCGATTTCCTCCTGACCAAAAAAAAAAAAAAAAAAAAAAAAAAAAAAAAAAAAAAAAAAAAAAAAAAAAAAAAAAAAAAAAAAAAAAAAAAAAAAAATAAAAAAAATAAAAAAAATAAAAAAAAATGATATCTTTATGTGCCGAGCGAATCGTAAAAAAAACTTTTCAATAATTCGGTTAGCGCCGTGGGTGATTCATAAAAAAAAAAACATTCCGAACGACAAATTTCGTTTGATCACCGTAATGTGAGAATAAAAACAACGTTAACACTTTCATTTATGAGCGGCGTAAACCAAAAATAAAACACAACGATAGGTCAAGTGGATGATGCGTGGACGTAAAAAATAATAAAATATACACGTTTACAACATGGGATTTTTGTACTCATATTGCTTCTGGAATAATCTGGAAATTTTGGGCAGGGAGTTCCAATAATCTTTGCGACAGACTTAACAAATATGAAACATAAGTACAATATAAGAAGAGAATTATGAGACTTCGACCTTCAATACTAGCTTTTGTTCTTAAGATCAAATCACGTTAGACCTATGACCGTATAAAATGATAGACTGGCATCAATCAGTGTAGAATATAGAAAATTCTTCGTCGAATCACAATAAATTGGAAACTGGATGAGGCAATTGGTTACAATGCGAAAATTGACGGTCTTATCGTTCAGAGCAAGGTTTCTTTAATCTACGACACGATTTTCATTTGAAAAGAATGAAATATCAATATACATTTCAAAACATTTGGATCGGCAAATAAATGAAATTAAATTCTTATTCTTTATTGTGCTATTGTACGCAGATTTGAAAGGTGGAGTAGCCGTTGTATTGTTGCAATTGAGACCTTAGAACTCTTGTCTCAAGATGAGTGGCAGCATTTAGATTGTAGTTGTCTATGGGCTCCGCTAACCACTTGCCAGGTGGGCCGTAGGCTCATTAATCCTACTAAGCAATAAAAAAAGAGTAATAATATGAAAACAGTTGGTCTCCATATATACATACGTACAATATTGGATCATAGCATTGTTCCTTATGTGTTTCAAAAGTGATTTACAAGTGGAAACCAAAATAAAATTCCCGTCAGAAACTTCAGAGATACCAACATCAACGGATGACGTGTGAACTTAAGTATTTTCCTTCGGCACTTATTATTTTAGTGGCTGTTAACGTGGAGATGGATTTTATTATTATGATTTCGGTTTTATTACACCAACAAGAGGTCGCTACAAAAAGATACTAGATCTATTAATATTTGACGGCTTCGTGCGATAAGAGTTCGCGAATTAATATTCCTTTGAATGTTATGGTTCTGATCTAGATTGGACGTTTTCATCTCATACGAAAATAATATATCAAACTTCAAAAAAACACACACTTAAAGAGAAAATTGAACCAACAATTATTGTCATCATTTTTTATATCGCTACTGGTATTTAAGGCAAAGTTATAAGATTATTGTATCAACGGTCCGTGATGGATGTGCAAATTTTGAAATTGGTGAAAAAGGCTATCTTAGATTCCGGTACGTATGAACAAATTCATATTATATGTAAATAGGCCAGAACATCCGTGGAAATTCTTTTATTTTTTAAATTGGAAACGTCAGGTTAATTGTCTGTGTGGATCCGGAGAAAGTGCCGCGATCGCAACTGATTAATGGTAGACTTGTTAATTACTCGTTCATTCGACATTGACATGTAACAAGTGTCAGTTAATAATTTGACATATGACATAGATATATTTGACATTTGACAAGTTAGTCTATGACAGCGGGGCCATTTTAAAGAGAGGTCATTCTCTTTTGTGCTTCATTGGTATGTCATTGAGATCGGATACATTTCTGAGATCACCGCTTTTCTAGTCTGAAATTATTTAATTGTGTGCTTATTTTGAGTTTGAGTTTGAGAAGACAGATATTGTGATGATCAGGAGGAGTTCAATCTGACGTAAATATTTATGGTACAAATAAATGTACAAAGCGAGCCAATAATATCGTGTTATAATGATAGGATTGTTATTATTGAAACTTATAAAGACCACATATAACAGGAAGAAGATATTTATTACTATTATATACTATATATTTACTACTAGTATGAGTATTACTAAACTTATGTACTATTATAGTACTTTATCACAGCTGTGAACCCGATCGGGAATTTTTACACGATAGAAGAAAGGTGTTTACTGATTATGAACTTATTAAAGCATGAGTGCAACTCACGAGCAGTAGAAGGGAAACTTTCAGAAGTATTCTATCTCATTCTCTCGAAGGTTAAATCGAATACGTTTGTCCTTTTTTAGCGTTGTTTTAGGTTTAATCTAGTTTCCCAATGGTAAAGAAGTTTTTACTCATTACACGCAACATAGATTCTATCGCGAGGTTCGCGAGATTCTCTTCTCTTTGCGGGTAAATGTCACTACAGTTAAAAACTGCCACCATTTTGTAATTTTAAGTGAAAATCAGTGATATCTAATATATAAAATTCTCGTGTCACCGACTGCGTGATTGAACTCCTCCGAAACGGCTTGACCGATTTTCGTGAATCTTAGCGTGCATATCGGTCAGGGTTGAGAATCTAACAACATCTATTTTTCATCCCCTTAAATGTTAAGGATGGTCCACCCCTAAATTTTATTTTTTAAGTTTTAGACAAAATAAAATGTTTTAATTTTTTTATGATACAGCATACAAAAATGCATACAACCCTAAATT